TAAATTTAAAATTCTTTTTAAAATACTGAGTTATTTTACTGGACTTTTCAATTTGCAATTAGTAAATACATTTTTAGTCTTTGGCTGACAAATTAATACAGAATTTACAAGATTTAAAAGTTAACAAATTATTCTAATTAAAATTTTTAAAAAATCAATTCTTGTAAAAAAAATTCATTATTCATAAGAAAATAGTGTCCATAATATATATTATTCATAAAAGCAATTAAGCTTTTCTAATTAAATAATGTCTTAGTTTTATTGTGTTTTTATTTTTATTTTACAATTCAGAGCCTATTTTCTGTAACTGTGGGCCTGTTTGATAAATAAAAAAAAATTTTTTAAAATTTGAGGACTTAACCTTATAACAAAATGTAAATATTAAGCAAAAAAAAGAATTTCAAAATTCCTAAAATTAAATGAATGAGGAGTTGGTGTTAAAAAAAAAAAAATACCAAATTTTTCAAATCAAAGAAACATTTCACAAATAATTTAATTTCTGAATACGTCCTGAAAGTTTCATTAAAATTGCACAATTATCTGATTTTTACAAGAATTTCTAAATTAATTTTTTTTTTTTCTGCATAAATTTCCAATATAAATTTATGGTCCCATGTTGGTGCCAGAAAAAACAGATTTTAACAGATAAAAATAATTTTTCATCCAAAAATCCTTTGATCTTCCATCTTAATAACAAACATTTTGTTTTATATTTTGGGGCATATTTTTCATCATGTATCCTTTTCCTTTTTTTTTTTTTTTTTTTTTTATGAATATTTGGAAGTACCTAATTGTGAATCTTATACACAAAATACTGCTATACAACAGATGCTTTGCATCTTGGTTATATGTATTAATTATTCTTCAGATAAGGAGAGAATGTGATGAAAATTTCATTTTCTACACATGTAAAATCTTTACTTTTTTATTGTTAATAACACTAATATGTACTTTTGTGTAGGTCCCTCCAAATATATGAGGAAAAAAGTGCCCAAGACAAAACTTTATTATATAAATCATTAAGAAGAAAGGTTAAAGGATTTTTTTATATAATTTTTTTTTTTTATTATTCTTTGTAGAGCTCTGAAAGTTTTTTATATTTAATTAGTAATGTTACTTTTTACTGTTGATTTTTTTTTTAATCTGTTACTCCCACTGCATTTAATTTTATTAAATAAAGACAGGTCATGGAAAAATCATCAATTTTTGGATCAAATGGAACCTTAGTTGCAGAAAATCTACTCCAAATTTTGTAATTAAAAAAAAATAAATAAATAAATCAAAACAAGCTTTGTTTTTTATTTGAAAAACATTTACTTACTTTTATGAAAAATATAGGCACAAAATTGATATGTAAATCTTAAGAAAATGACAACACCGCAAGAAAAAGCTAATATATTGAATGCTGATCATTAATTTCTTAGCTTCAATTGTTGATTTTAAAAAAAAAAAAAACTATCAGCAATCAAAATATTCAAAATACATTTTCGTCCTGACCCACCTCCACTCCCACCAAAAATCCCCACCCTCTCTGTCAGCAAATCTGTATTAAATATGGGCTTTAAAACAATGTACTTCTATTTCTTTCTTTTTGGGCAGTTATTCAATTGCTCTCCAAAAAGCAGACACCCTAAAACCAACTCTCAAAACAGCAGTCTCCATTTCACTTCACATCTGCAAATGGTAGTCATTTTTACTGAATCATAAATTTTTTCCACAGCTAGGGTGGCGGGAGAGGAGAAGTGGCAATGTTGGCTTAATTTGATTAATTTTCTAATTAATTTTTTAATGACTTGGCATTCTTCCTGTTCACACGGGCAAAGTAAAGCATATTTCGCACTGCTTGGTTGCACAAGACACAAAGTCAGGAAATATAAGTTTCCTTTCCACATCCATATGTTCAGTAGATTCCATATCCTATGTGGGTGTGAGTGTGTGTATATATATATATATATATATATATATATATATATATATATATATATATATATATGTGTGTGCACACAGACACGCACTAGGTGTGTGGGTACCCACATAGGAATGGGACTGAGATTCATTAAATGGTCAGGAAAATAGCTATCAGGTTTTCACTAGGGGCATATTACGGCTGGCCTTAGTGTAATCAGACTCCTTGCTTGAACCTCTATATGTTTTGCATGACTATTGACTGTGGTATCTGGTGTCTGCAGCCCAGTTTATTCCATCAGAACTGGAATGGTCTCTTACATTCTCCTCATCCATTCCTTCTCTACTGGAATTCTGTGGGTGGATTGACTCTCCCCCACCCCTCTACCCACAACCTGGTATTGCAACCAACCTCCACCAGTCTCTCTTTCCCACCATAATATAAGGCATATTTGATCAAAAAAAGTATTGCTGTTTTTTCTGCTAAGAATTTTTTTTCTCCCCATCTTGAAGTAAATGACTCATCAATAGTTTAAGGTAAATCAAATGATATTATGTTGTTTTTTTTTTTGGGGGGGGGTTCCCTCTTCCTTTCCTGGGGAAATGACAAACATCACTGCTACTCAATTTACTATTGATCTTCTATAAGTATAATATTGTATCACTGGAATATTAGATTGGCATTTCTTTTAAATACAAGTGTAGTTGTTATGGTTATGTATGGCTATGAACATACAAAACTGAATCTACCAACCAAGATTGAATTGCAGCTGAAGCTGCTTGTTTACTAACACCCTTGGGAAAGGCAAGAATGTGCTTTTATTTTTTTATTTTTTTCCCACTCTGTCCTATTACTAAATATCTTTTACAAAAAAGTTTTATCACACACACATCGACATGGTTGGAAAGAAAAGCGAATAATTATACACTTGGGTAAACCACTTCCCCATAACTACCTTCTACCAAGGCAATAGTCGTAATAAAGTTATGTTTGTCACCCTTGACAGGTGACAGTTAGACAATGTTTTTATTTGTCAAAGGATAAAATGTCCTCAGTAATCAGTACTCAACAACCAAATATGTATATAGTTCACACGTTCATATGACTGTTAAATTCACATAGTTTACACATAAATTTATGCATAATTCAGTTTACACTTTTTCAAAAATTACCAAATATGTATCTTATGTCATAAAACTTATTTAATGACTGATTTTTGTATGGCTGAAAAATTTTTCATCCTCTTATTTCTTATCTCGCTTCTCCCACCCCTTATCTCCCACCTGTCTTCCTCCTCCTCCAAACTATAATTGTGCGTGATATTAGTTTAATTTCCTTTTGCATTAAATCATTACTATCATATTTTCTTTTAGCTACCAAGTATTCTAATAATTCTACCTTTGTGAAATACCAGTTTTCCCTCGGTATATTTTCTTTACCAAAGTAGGATTTAGACAACATTTTACATGATCACTATGAAAATTTAATTTTTTAATCAAATTGATTAGAATTCTAGGACTGAGCGGTTTATAGAATCTCTAATAATGAATCACAAATATTTCATTGTGTTCAAACCAAAGTTTAGTGTTTAGAAAATACTATTGGTCTCTTTGGCAATGTTCTTTATAGTATACCAAAGTTACAAGAATCCGTAACAACTTAGAAAGAAAAAAATTGGTAGGTCCTTGATTAGACTGAGACTCTTGTCTGGCTTTTGTTTTTTGTTTTTCCAAAACAAGTTATGCGCTGTTTTCCTCTGTCCCTCTTGCCTTCAATATGTCATGTCAGTGTTAAATTTTCTAAGCCCTCTTTTCTCATTATGTGCTCGAAAAATTTCAACTCTATTCTGGTGTTAAGTATAAGTGGCCTTTTTGTTTTCATTTTTCTTAAAAAACTTTGTCATTGCTCACTTGTTCAGTGTATGGTATTCTCAGCATCCTTCTGTAGAACCACATTTCTGTTGCCTGAAGTCTTTTCATCTGTGACGAGATGACTATATGAATGTTATGCGAGAATAATCAACACAGGATGAGAGGCAACATCCTCAAAATATCCAAATAGAACACTGAAAATTATTTGTGCTTGTTTATATTAATCATTTTGATCTGGGAATTTTCCATAAATCTTGAAAACCAGTTGAATGGACAGTGAAAAAGTAGATACTTTCCAACAGCTTATAGGATACTACAGACCAATCAAAATGAACTTTGTAGCCATCACCAAAATTAAGCCTTCATCCAAAGCCAATGATTGTGTGTGTGATTTAAAGTACTCTATGATGAGCTCCTGGGAAATCAAATAATTATTTGACTAAGTACTGTTACCAATTAGGCTCATTGACAGTAGCAATCAACAAAAATTATCTAGAATTAGATAATATTCCAGCAGGTAATGTTAGGCCACATGTTTCTTTGATGACCAAGCAAAATTTGTGTCAATTTGCCTGGGACATTCCCACTTGTTTACTATAATCCACAGTTGATGCACTTTCTGGTTATAGATTACTGTTCTGTATCGAAATTTCAAGCAAAAAAAGATTCATTTCCATAGAAAACTGTAAATGTCATTTTTTAAATGTTCTTTGTTACAAAAGATGGCAATTTTCTCGGAAAATCAAATTATGATATTACCTTAAAGATGACAAGAAGCATTAAAACAAAATTGTAAAATGTTCATTTTTTTTTTTTTTTTGTCTTGTTTTGTTTCTTTGTTGTTGTTTTTTTGTTTTGTTTTTTTTAATGTCAACATTATTTTTGCTTAAACTAAATAATTTTGCATCATAGTTACTACAAAAATCAGTTTTAAGCAGTGTTTATACAAGATGCTGCACAAAAGGAATTCGGATTGATTAGTCTGCTCATCTGTTGAATTACTCAATATTTCCCCCTGTCCTGCCAGACCTTTCACACACATCTTGAAATTACTCCTCCACAAAATGAAGGACCTCTTTCTGAGGAAGCCATTTCATGCCTTTAAACTTCCCTGGATAGCACATCATATGCATAAGTAGGTATAAAAGCTTTCAGCTCTTCTATTTATATTTGTTTAAAACAACTGAAACTAAGATTTTTTTTTTTTTTTTTTTTTATTTCAGAACCTGGTCTTACAGAGGTCTGCTATAGCACATTAGCACTGGATTACATGCAAAAGACTCGTCCTCCACATGCTTTGTGGATGTATACACCAGCCTATCACAAGTCACAGGACTACCTACTACGATGCAACCAGTACCTTGAAAATGAACAGAGCACACCTTTTGCACAGCCCACAGATGATGCAGAGGACTGTGTTGATCCTGAAAGTCATGCAGCAGATTCAGAATGCACAACCAGTGACAGCCAAAATCGTCCAGAATGCTCAGCAAGGAACATTACTCAGAACACATGTAGTTGCAATAACCCATCCTCAGACTATGTATTCTTTAACCCCACACAGAATGAATATTTGGAAAAATAACGCAAAGTGAAGATAATACTTCCTGGAGAGGAACAAAAAAAAAAATTGCAAAAATAAACACATGCGCTCTTTCTATTTCTGATACGTTTATCGACACATGTAAAAAATGAATGGCTTATGTGATGAACACGTGCACTTGCAGAAGGAAGAGTGTTTAGCTGAAATTGGCAAAGGTGTTGCTGCCAATGTTTGTACCATTTGTCTTTGATCTTTTATGCTTCCCACTGGAACTGACCAAAATTAAAATTTGTGTGATTAAAAAAAAAAAAACTGAAAAAATGGGAGGGGGGAATAAACAAAACAAATGAAAAGTTCATCTTTAAATATATTTGTTTAAATTTACTTCTCTGAAGAACTTTTTTCTTTTCTTTTTTTTCTATAAGGCTGAAAGAAAATCTTTTAAATTCCCTTGCTTATAGCGTGAGTCAAAGAAATTAGTTGTTTTCTAAAAAAAAAAAAAAAAAACAAACATGCTACTGAAAAACTTACTTTTTAAAAAAGCTTAAAGATTTTAATCAGAACCTGTAAAATCAGGAGATGACTTTTCCTTCCCACCCATCTAACCTCACTGGAAAACAAATCAGGGTACAAATGGATTTTGAATTAATCTTTCTGCAAGTACCTGCTGTTTTTGTTTTAGTTTGCCTAAAAGTAAGTGCTGAATTATAATAATTATATTAATATTAATATAATATTACATTACATTATATTAATTATATTATAATTATAATAGCTGTAATACACTTCTTTTATGTCTTTCTCCATCAAAACATTGGCTGAAGATAACCTTAAAAGTATTATTTTCTTTTTGGGATACCCCTTTTTCTCTCTATTAATATCCAGTTTTCATGGTTTATTAGATGCTTGAAAAGGGGGTGTTTCATTTTTTTTTAAATATTTTTTATTCCATTTAAAAATGAGAAAAATGCAATAGTCCTTTTTTTTCTCTCTTTTAAAAACTTTGCTTGGATTTAAACTTTATCATTTGACCAAAATTGTTAAATTACTCTTTCATTTCCCTCCAAGGCATTTAACTTTTTAATTTGAAATGTAATCTTTCAAGCAAATAAATTAAAAAAAAAAAAAAAAAACAACAATCTTAATTGCATCACTTTACTGAGCGATCTAAAAATAAGGCAATTGAAAAAAGGCTCTGTACAGTGTTCTATTGCAAGCATAAAAAATTTGATTCCATCCTCCATTATTGTTGAAAACAAAAACTTTCAATTTTTCTAGATTTAAAAAAAAAAAAAAAAAATTCTCTTCTGCTCTTCAAATCCTAGTCAAAAAAAAAAAGATGTTTATTTATTCCATGTCTTCCAAACCAACAGTAGGAATTCTACCATTTTGGGAAGTGAATAGGAGAGAAGAAAAGGCCCTTAAAATCCAGGCTGAGTGACCACAGAATTATTTTTCATGATTCCATATATTTTTTTACATAACTGTTACGTTTGGGTGTCTGTACACAAACAATGCTTGACTAGCACAAAAAAGGAAACAGAAAAAAGACTGACTGGTTTTAAAAAAAAAAAAAAAACATTTTGGGAATTTTTTCTTATTTATATCATTCAAGATTTTTCATTCTAAAGGAAGAGAAATGTATATATTTATTGAATTTGATTTTTTTTTTTTTTTAACCTCTTCAAAGAAAAATCTTTTGTCTCAGTAAAAATAAATTCCATGTTCCCAAGTAAAAAGTTGGTGTTTGTTTTTTTTTCTATTCCACTTTTAATTTTCCATGTTTTATTGTGCTTTTTAGAATGATTGGTTTTTGTATTCATTGCTTTTATAATCTTAACATTTCTTGGGTTGTTTTCAACCAATTTAACATCATTGGTACTACTTTTTGTTTTTTCTCTGAAGTGTTAGTAAAACTAACACTTAACCTTTTCAACTTCTTTCAAAGTGATATCCAAGAGCTGCATACTACTCAATGAGATTTGAAGACTGGAGTCAATATTATCATACCAAAATCATAGAAAGATTGTACTAAATTTAAGAAAATTCAAATATTCTAATGACAATTGTGATTTTCTCCTAGTCTTAAAAAGCATTACAAATTTTCATTAATCCTTTCACTCCATAGCTTATCCAGCTACCTTTTTTTTTTTTATCCAAGTAACTAACAGCGTTCTCCAGTTGGTAGGATTTTAACGACTGTCATAATACCCTTGGAAAAGTTATGAATCCTCGTCTTCTCCCTCCCCTGCCCCTCCAGGTATGGGTAAATAGTAGTTCAGACTGGGTTCTATAGCTTTGGATGGTAACTGGTATACCGCAGAAAAAAATGGCAACCTACTGTGGGGGGAAAAAATCTACATTGTCAGTCATGTATCGAAAGATACATGATTGCCTAAGCGTGTAACACACATGGCACATAACTGACTGAATATGCACTAACTGTTGCTAAGTTTCTTTCATAATATCAGAATCAAACAAAAATGTTTTTTCTCTCTTACACACACACACACACACACTAATATATAACACAAAAAAATAGTTATAAATCTAACCATCCATAATTAACATCTTAAGATAACACCAAGCCAGGTAAAAAACAAATCATTAATTACTAAAGAAGAAAAACAAAATAATGGGCAATCAAAGAATTTTTTGAAAAAAATGGAATATTTTCAAGAACTTTAGAAAAACCCCAGAATATTCCAGAAATATAAGTTATCTCTGACAGCAGATAAAACATTGTTACATCATTTTTGACACTCAGAGCTGAAAGATAAAGAAAAAAGGAGACAAGAAAATTATGAAATGAAGAAGAAATAACTGGCATCCTACACATGTGCACATAAATACATGTACAGGTGTAGACACAAAATTTCAACCTAACACCAACAAAATAAATTTTAAATAAAAAAAAAAAAATTTTTTTTTTTTTTTTTTTTAACTTAATATAAAAATTACGAAAACTAGAAAATTGACATACCTCCTGACAAGTTCTCCAAACAAATACCCAAAAATTCATCTATGAAACTGGAGTAGAGGTGCTGAATATAACATCAATCAGCTAAGTGACAAATTTTATATTTGTATTAATTCTATCTATCTATCTTTCTTCAAATGTTATTTTTTTAGTGGATACCCATATTTGAGTAGACGTTCCATTTATTTTAAATGTTACTTATTTCCTCTACTGGCCTGCGTACACAAGAAAAACTCATTAAAAAAAAAGATTTGACCAAATTTAGTTTGGCATCATAGGAAACCAGTATTTTATCTGGTTTTGGTCCAACCCTAAAATCTAAACAACCTGATTTTATAATAAAGCATTTGAAAATACAATCTGTAAAATTATTACAAGTTATCACTTTGTATAGAAATCATTTCATTTAGATAATCAACCTGCATGTCTTATTTAATACTGCTTAGTTATTACTCACCCTATTTCCACTGTCTAAGTCTGTATTACCCAGCACAAGGAGTGAACTTCCAATTACTGTTGCCATATTCACAACCAATACTATTCCACCAGAAGAATAATATAACTTGGAACAGTATTTTATATTTTGAGAAGAGGACAATAGTTTAAATGCAAATAACTCCTCATACCAGAAATTCAGATACAAAATTCAAACATGAAAATACCTTTGCAAGATCCTAATAATTGTACTGAATAAGTCTTGTTTTCATAAAACTGGTATACTGTTTAATGAATGGACAAACCACTGCTGTTGGCAAGTGTGTTGCTTGTTAATCGACCCCACTTATCTCTATACTAAATGTTGTCAATTTCTATGGGTCCACATGTCCTTATACAACTGGACTGACCTCTATTCATATCACAATCCATCACCTGTCCAGTGTCTACACCGGAAAAGCCAGCCATCAGCTTCCTGTTTCTATCAATGATGGCAAGTAATTAACAAAGAAATTAATCTTTGAAACCTGTCTTCCTGATTTGCTCAACGGGCAAATCACAACTGCCAACAGGCATTAAAAAGGTTTGATTGGCACTTGCTGACTTTTCAATATTCACGGGCAAGAAAATAACACTTGTGGCACTTTTCCTAACCGCCCCCCCTCCACCAACCTTGATTTCCTTACTTCCATATTCCCATGTTTCCTTCTGCACTCATTCCTGTGTACGTTTGTATATGGACACATAAACATCTTTGTGTTAAACAAAACTTAAATATGTCACAATTTTGTATTATAAATAAAATGTGTCTGTGTATGCTCATGGACACAGTTTTTTTTTTGTTTTTTTTTAATAGTACAATTCAAAAGTTCAAGGAATTTTGATTTTTGAAGTATTGTCGGAGTTAGTTCCTCCTTAATTCCCTAATCGTTCACTAGGGGTCGTTCTCCTTATACTATAAATACTGGGCGACTTCTTGCCTCATTCTCTTTTTCATTTCTTCATTTCAGCGAACACATCTACAATGTAAGCACTCTTAGAAGATAGCGTATCCCCACTTAATGGTATAAACTTTGAATTTATTTTTTCTTATGGCATAAATTTATTTGAAATTGGTCTTTTAAATGTCTTGGATTTTTTTATACGTAATTGGGAGTTTGAGTGATTCATTTTTACGGCTTATCAACCCTTTACAGAAAATATTTTTAGATTGTAAGAATTTTTTTTAGATGATAATGATTTAATGACACAAGTCTTACTAATTGATTCATAGCTGGGAGAGAATAGGTTGATTCATGCTTTTCCCAAAGGTATTCATCCATAAGTGAATATAACGAACCCAACAGGAATTAGAACTCAGCTCTCCAATTTACAATTCCAAGTGATTATCCATAACACCATCTGCAAATCCAAGCTTACGACACCTGGTATTCCTAAACAGTTAGCTACCTAGGCACTGACCGGGATCGACATTGCTTAATTTTGGTGACTATACGAGCACCGGTGTTTCAACCTGCTGCGGACGTAAGCAATTGGGAGTTAGATATGTTTATGATATCTAGTTAGGGTATGGCGAATATTTAGTATTTGGTTGGGGTGGGTAGAATATGCAACACAGTCATTTCCC